CCGTTCGCTGTTTGGCCTTGCATGTGGATTTTGGCTTGGCGTGCCGGCAGTTGGTGTTCTATTTCGTTCCCACGGTAGAGGATGCTGGAAAATACTGCCCCATCTTCCGGTGGTTTCGTCATAGTGCCGTCTTCTTCTGCAAATCCTGACTTCGGTTTGACCGAGTCCTCTCCTTTACTTACGTAATTACGTAGGATTTTGTAGGCCACAGAAAAATCCATATGCCTGTTGACAAAGTTGGCGTCTGAATCTCTGATAGTTTATGTTTTCCATAAAATATATTTGAGTTTATAAAGGCAGTGAAAATCAATGATAAAATATATACCACTTAAGTAGCCACTTTTTGGGGTATATAAGTTTTGTTGGCGGTCAGAAAGAAGCTTGTTAAACAGCCGGCATCTTATCGTGACTGAAATGAATTCAGAATAGAACACATGATACTCAGTCTTACAACCCTACTCAATGCCGACTAGCGAGAGAGTATCGATCTTTCGCATATGGCCGCATGTTAAAGGAATCCTGAAGCGTACTGTACTACGATGTAGGACGAAAAGCAGATGTGTGCACAGAGCAGCCTGGCACTGATCGCCAAGAAATGCAGTCTTCCACCAGGTGGTTGAATGTCAAATACACTCAATTTTTTGGGCGTGCACAGAAACACCGGATGTCCTTGCGTAAAACATACAAAATAATACTTTGTTTTAGGGATCGACGAAAATTCCCATCATGAAAGACGTGAAGGCCCACAGACTTTCAGTTGGCTACCATTCGCGTCGACATCGGAGGGTCATTTCAGTGAGGAGCAACCTACAAGTACAAAAATGACTGACGGAATTAGAGATTTCACTAGCTTCACGGACACACAATTTAAGGGCAGAGCTCTAGCCGGCTTGAGACTGCCGGAATTTCCTGCCTTCCATAACTTCGCACCTAACGGATATTTGACAGAGGAATCGCATGATGCCTACAACTTCCTAAAATTAGATCCCTCGAACAAGGAGTATCTTCGGACACAGCGATTCAGCATAGAGGAAGTGTCCGTCTCTGAAGGTAAGAAAAACATGTTATTGAGTGCCCGTTTTTTTAATGCTGGCATTTGAAGTGCCCAGTTAGTCTATGATGGTTGATATTATAGAGAGGGGATCCCAAAGCAGAACCTGGTTAAAAGATTGTTCCGGTCATGTCAAGGATGCATT